TGGGTCATTCAATATGTTGAATGTTTGTGACTTTTAGCCTCAAAATGCTGCACAACAATGAAGGAGAGGAATATGGAGGGGGAAATATGGTTGTGTTTTGTAATAATTATTATTTTAACAGTATTTTAAAGCCAAATGCTGTTTTGAACATTTTCTTTGCTTTTTGTTTTTATTTTGAAACGAAAAATGAATGAACATACATGGAACTAAAAGTCTATTTTTTACATCATGTCTATAACAGTTGTCTTTATTATGTGCTTATTATTATAGCATCCATATAGGTAATAGGAAATGACCTTAATAACAATCACCTCAATAAGTCTAGAAGACACTATAGGATAAAAGCGTGTAACCTTCCATTAAATGCTGTGCTGTCTTGATGTTTCCTTACCACATGTTGTCCTATTATAGTCTTTATTGTTGTGTACCAAGCAAATACTGACAGTACTTACCTTGTTCTCTTTCCTTTATGTGTTTAAAAAAAAAATAGAAGTGAATGGGGAAAAAACGACCAATAACCTTGCACAGGTAAGCAGTCCAGTATGAATAAAACCATATTGAATGAAAAACAATGATGATGTAGACACACTAATGAGAAACAGGTTCAGAAATAGACCAATGTGAAGCCTATATTCTCCACTTTCTGAGTCTACTTTATTCATTCCCTGTGTATGTCCTTACTTTTGTGTTTTTGTGTGAACTATGGCTGTGACTAAATACAATTACATCATTCAGAAAGAGCTTTTCTAAACAAATACAAATACAGATATGAATAGATGGCACAATATTCATTTATCTTTCTTAAAAAGCTTGGATTCAGAGGACGAGAATCCTGTGGGATGCACCTAAAAAGTCATGTGATCAGGAGGGATTTTTTTTTGTTTGTTTGTTTTTTTACTTTTTTTAATGCAAGAACAAGCGATCTGTGATATAATATGAAGCTCGCTGGACAAAGACCAAAGAATGTGCAGTGCTATGTGATGCATTTTCATATATTCATCCTTAGTAACTGCCTGATCAAGGTCCCAATGTTTTAAATAATGCTACTAGTTTGTTTATATTTTGGGAAACCAGCAAAATGTATTAGAAACAAATGAAAATAACAACTGAGCACATCACTAGTTGCGATAATTTATGAACTCGAGTGATGTAGCTGAGGTTGAGGAGCCATGCATTCACGGGCCATGCAGACAGTGCTTGCATTTCTACCTTTGGGTTTGTTTCAGTGTTTTCCAATGTTTCTGTGGGCATAAGAGTAGGATTCATATTAACAAGAAAAAAAAAGAAATAGACAAACAAACCTTTACACCACACACACTTTCAGTTTAAATTTTAATACGGATACAGATAACAATATAGAAACAGATAAACCAATATGGAAACAGATACAGAATATAGTACACCTTATGATTTTATATGAACATTTTCTTGTCTTTTCTCTGAGTTTCTCATTAGTTCATAAAGTACTAGTATCGATTTTTATCAATGTCATCTCCTGTCACTCACTTTGCTTGTCAGTCACATTGACAGTACAATAGAGCTACAAATTAGCAATCTGAGTGCGACTCTCAAAGCACAAAGTACTCTCCTAGGAATGCAGCAGGAACCACTCCTATAGCTTTTGATTGCAGATCAAGAAATGAGCACAGTGCTTCTACTGCTGACAAAAATGCCTGACCTACAGCAGGGACAAGTGCTAGAGACCAACCAAACCATCACATCCAACCTATGTGCCTCAGGAGTCTAGCCTTACCACCCTCAGCATTACAACTTCGGCACTTACAAATTTGACCTTCAGTTTTTGTATTTTCCAACCAAGGGAACTTGTGTAGCTTACCTAATCTCTGTCCTCACTAGCCAAGAAGGCCACTGGAGGGGGTCACTGCCCTCTGGCCTCAGCTGTAACAAATCTACACCAGAGTTTAATCATCTAGTCAGTGGACAAAAGGGCAGCATAGAGGTTGATGGCCTTACAGCAAAATGTCCATGTTGTGGCAGATTGCGTTAATTCTGCATCCTTGTGGCAGTGAATCGATGGAATAAGGTTCTGCTGACGACAGTCTGATTACTTTAATGCAGAGAGAGCACACCACAATTCTGACAACCCCAACCTGGACCAGCCAGCGCTCTGGGCCAATCCCAGCTGGCACAGGAGAACAGAAAAGAACGCCAGCACAGGTGATCTTACTGTGGTGCAGAGGGCCAAATTTTTAGAGGCTGCTCACTAGGGTAATGGAGGCTGTCATGAGCACAGCAATCCTCCACATATTCAACATTAATTTGAAGACTTAAAGGAAGTAGAAATGTGTTACTGCAAGCAACTCATGCAAGAACGTTTTGTAATGTCACTTCCCTTGGCAAGTCAGTTCATGTTTTCAAGACAATTATCTGCTGTCATTATTGGAGCCTTCTTAATGAAGTACTATGAAAATTGAAAGCATTAGGTGAAAGATTTAGCCTAAAAATTAGGGATGCAACAAGCAATTACTTTTATAATTGATTAATCTTTCGACTATTTTTGAGTAATCTAACAATTATTTCTTGTGACAGTTACCATTTTAAATTGCAAATGGGGAATTTGACACATTTAAATAAGGATACATGAAGCTTGAAATTTGAAGATTCACATTAATGAAGTTTATCTAAACTGTACTAAATCGGTAGCCTACACAAAGTCTTTGTCTTATAATTAGTTTGAACAAGCCTAAATTCAACAGGATGAATTTTACAGGCCTATGAAATTGCTATACTAATAGTTCACATATTTTAACTATGAACACACCATCATAAAACTATAAAGCCCAAGAAACAATATGTAATGTGAGGCTAATGTTTAGTTTATTTCGCTTACTAAGTAAGCAGTAAAGACATGGTACTGTCATGGTAAAATTTTAAATTGAACATAAAATGTTACTCTTGAGGGGGGCACGGTGGCTTGGTGGTTAGCATGCTTACCTCGCAAGTTGGAGGTTTGAATTCCGTCTCCACCCTGAGTGCACGAAGTTTGCATGTTCACCCCATGCTTCGGGGGTTTCCTCCAGGTACTCCAGTTTCCTCCCCCAGCCCAAAGCCATGCATTGTAAGCTGATCGCCATTTTCCAAATTGTCTGTAGTGTGTGAATGTGTGTGCGATTGTTATTGTTGCTACACCATCCAGGGTGCTCCCTGCCTCATGCCCCGAGTTCCCTGGGATAAGCTCCAGGCTACCCTGTGTAGTATAAGTGATATAGAAAATGGATGGCTGTTACTCTTGAGTGGCACAGTAGAAATGCATTCGTCCTGTCATTGCCAAAGTCATCTGTGGCTGGAAAAATTACCTGTGCTTTCTGGGTGGGAGGGGTGGCATAGTCTGTCTCTCCTGTCAATCACAGCAACACTAGCCAATCGTGGGCTTCCGTGAGCTCATGTATGCAGAAGAGGGCAGATTTCCCTTGTTATGCTGTGCTGTGTGGCAGTGGGACACAGTGGCAGGCTTTGCATGTCTCGGAGGAAGCACGTGCTGGTTGGTTGTTGGGGAGTGCTGTGTGGTTAGTGGGGATAGGCAGATGACCAAAGTGGGAGAAAATGGGTATATAAATTGTCATGTAAAGATTTTTATAGACATTAAATAGCATCATCAATCATGTTTTTTAAGGCGCAGCTCTATGATGCAGAAACAGTGCTGCTGCCAGTGGCTTCAGTGGTGTATTGCAGTCTACTTGAAAACAGAGGCCTAATCTGTCTTACATTATGTAACAGCTAGTTCCAGTCCACTAATTTGATTAGTTAAACAGCATTCCAAGAGCGCTTATATGTACTATAACCATACTGGGAAGTTTCACTGTGTGTATCACTCCACTTGTGTGTGTTCGCCATGTAAAATTCCACTTCCTAGTTCGAATCGGTTATTACAGTAGTGTTAGTGACATCATCAGCCGACATGGCAAATGAAACTTTTCAGGAATATAAATTTTGACTTAAAATATGATGGCATTTGACTTAAAATATGGTGGCATTTTTTACTGGAAGCACCTTTAATGGGAATGTACAAATCAACGTGAACTAGCTAGCCAGCTAGCCAACGTGCTTTAAAGTGGGTGTGGCTTCTTTGGGATCTACTTCCACTAGCGGCACAAAAATAAACAGAACATTTGGCCATATTGTGTCCGAAATGTCACTTAAACAATATTACTTTCTTGTTTATAGAACTGTTATATTAAAGCAACATTACCTACTGCCAAATTAAGTCTGTGCCGATATTCAGCATAACCACACTCATGCTCATGCGATATTGCTTAATTATAATATATTTTGGTTGTTAATTAATTAAATTATAGTGTTTCAATTATAAAAATCCACACTGATGATTTTTTTATTATCAACATAGTGGGTTTTGTTGACTAATCATTTCAGGTCAAAACTGATAATGTAGTTAGCCATCTGAGCAGTTAGTAGCACACTTCTCACATTCAAGATCCCATTACTATTCAAAGATGCAATGACAAACACAAAGAAAGAAAGACACAGGAAACTGAAACACTGGGCACTGCATTGCACCCAGTGCACACAGTAACACTGTGACATGGGTGTTGCGGTGACCATGCTCCTTTAACTTCGTACCACATCCCTTTAAAGTCACCATCTATGAATAATATTTAACCTTGTTTCATCATAATGGGCCAACTGAAAGCACAAACAAAGGCGTGGGTGCTATTCCTGACAATACTGCCAGCATTGAATGAGCTTTAGGTTGTGGAGTAATGATGTATGACATACAAGTCTAAAAATCTCATGTCAAGTCAACCTGACAGCTGACTTTGAATTAATAGTTCAGGCTTTCCTGTGAGCCTTGCCACAGCAGTGCAAAAACATCATTATGCTTTAGGATATTTTTTATCTACTGACTCAAGAATGCTTTGATAGAAGAAAGTTATGCTCTACTGGAAAGATACTGCAAAGAAGCAAGTTCAGTTCAATCTCAGTGTAAATTATAAAAGAGCAAAAGAGAATCTTATGGACATCACTTTAGCATGGCAAGTAGAAACAACTTCTTTAATGTGAGCCCTTTCAATTGGCTGTCATTGAGATAACCAGATTCCTAACCATCACATTTAATGATGAACTCATTTAGCAATTTTTTTTCACTTTTTGGAAACCCATAAAGATCTCCGTATATCCCCCAGTCAGATGTTATATTACTATCATGGAGTCTTAAACAGTTTTACCAATACATTTGTATGCCATGGCAGCACCATTGCAGACTCTAAGCTCAATACCACTTCTAATTCTTTAAGGATCTGTTGGTACTAGATTGAATTGTCTAACAATATAGAGTCCTACTGGGACATAGCAGAGGTGTAAGTAAGGGTAAGGCATTCAGTCTGAAAACAGATGCCCTATCATGGCAGCATGACAGAATTAGAGCCAGAGAGTATCATCATTCTATTACAAATAGACCAGTAGGTTGGGTGCAGTTCCCCTGGAAAGAAAAGGTAGAAGGAAAGACTCACGTTCTGAAGTGCATTCTGAAGTGCTGCAATGAAGACATGATTGACAGATTGTGAGGCACCTCAGAGTGGCCAGAAGAGGCAAATTCATTAATCACAGCGACTAGTGACTATACATGGTTACACAGTCTGTGTGGCCCAACCCAAGCTCACTGATGTTCCTCAGTGCCCATAGTCTTTGCCATGATTGGTCTGTACTGTCCCTTTAGCGGGCAGTGGTAGCTCAGTGGTTAAGATGTTGGACTACTGATTGGAATATCATGAGAACAAATCCCAGCACTGCCACTGCTGGGCCCTTGAGCAAGGCCCTTAACCATCAAGTGCTCAGTTGTATAAATGAGATAAAATTTATGTCATTCTGGATAAGGGTATCTGACAAATGCCGTAAATGGTAAATAAAAGAAGATGGCTCACATAGATTTTGCTTTAAGGCCCTTGCATTACATTACATTAAACATATCCATCCAATGCCATGAATAGATGAATAGATGATTTAATGCTTTACTATCTGGATGTTCGTCTAGATGCATAAATAAGCTTCAGATAGTTCAGAACGCTGCAGCGAGGGTCCTTACTAGGACTAGGAAGTATGAGCATATCACGCCAGTCTTATCTACATTACACTGGCTCCCAGTAAGATCCCGCATCGATTTTAAAATATTACTCCTAACCTATAAAGCATTAAACGGTCTCGCTCCGCAGTATTTAAGCGATATGTTAGTACCTTACGTTCCGCCGCGCCTACTTCGCTCTAAGGATGCAGGCTGTCTATCAGTACCACGCATTGCCAAAACCACGGCAGGGGGCAGAGCTTTCTCTTACCAAGCCCCAAAATTATGG